TATAGCAATTAGTAATATTAAAACAAGAGTACACGCTGAAGTATTTACTCAGATACTTTATCGAACTCGTAATTGCCTATATCGTATTGTTTCTCTTTACAATAGTAAAACACATTCTGAGATTTTTAAAGAACCAAATCGTGACCTTATTTGTGCAGAACTTTCGGCCTTAAGACCTGAAGATTTACCAACTGCAATAAAGGGGTACCATGAATGGAACAAAATCGCTAACTGTTATATACTTAATTCATCTCTAGCAGTAGAAACTTATATTGAGATTGAGTATCAGAGACGCTTATCTGCCAAATATTTTCCAGAAATTTTTTGTAGTTTGATTGCTAGTACTGGTGCATTGCTAGAATTAATTGCAGTAGAAGATACCAAATTAGCCAAAGCTTCTCATATAGAAATATTTCATACTATTAAGAATACTGAAAAAAGGATCAAAAGTTCTGATGCAGAATTAATAGTCAATGCTCCAGATATCAATTCTAATGAAGCTGAAATGCTTAAGCTAAATCCTGAATGTTCTTTTGATGATAACATGACCCTGCAATGATATTATTTATAGAGAACATATGCTTCAGGTGATATTGGAGGTAAGGGTAATATTCGAAACTGGAGTATAAATAACAATAATTGGGTTAAGCTTTGTGATATAGATTTCGTGAAAAGATATAATAATCCTAAACCTTTACAATATTTTAGAAGCAATTACCAACCTATTTTCTCTATATCAAGTATCATATCAGGACTGCTCATCTCAGAAGTAACACAAAAGATTAGTGCAGTTATTTTCATAATTTCAAAAAAATTCAATTGACAGATTTATGAAAACTAATTTCAGATTTGGCGATCCATTCATTTACAAATTAATTAGTATGAGAGGATCGCTAGATCTTTGATAGCAATCATGAAGAAAAGAGGGCATATACTTCATAGATTTTTATTTTACATCGACACTTTTCTATCTGTGTTAAAAATCTCCCAAATTACCTTGAATTTTCAAGTTTATTAGCATTTTGATAAAACTGATCTTGAGCATGTTTCATTAATGGTCTACCTGGTTGATAAAGCTATTTCTTCACTGCTTGCTGAATTATTATAGCTAAATTTATTCATTTTTTCCATAAACAATATACTCACTAGATGATAATAGTCGATTGATTTTTTATATACAAAGTTTTAAAATATGTTACTTGGATTAAAAATTCTCTAAATTCAGAGTGATTAGCTATGAATTCATTTCTGGTTAGATTATTTTTAATACTGAATACAAAGTTTTTCCAATAGTCATTACTAATAATATCATATCCTAGTATTAATAAACATCTACGTATATATTTGAGTGGATGATACTTTGCAAATTGTAACCAAGCTTCTGGTGTTTTAAAATTATTGATATAGTTTAAACTAAATTCAGTTAACATGTATTGGGTATAACTATTTTTTGTCCATTCCTCAAAAATATCTTGAATATTGAGTGAGTTGTATGAATGTATTATATATCAAATATATTGTTTTATCTGACTAAGATGTTTTTATTTTATTTACTAAATTTTCACTCGCATGTATCTTAGCTGATTTCTCCACTAGATAAAAAAAATAAATTGTGAAGGTTTGCTGAAGATAGCTAGATTGCTATTGCTTTGAGCACCTGTTCTACTTCTTTATCTGACCTAAAAAATAAAAACACCTTTATATATTTATTTTATCAAAAGAGCTAAGATATGATTTAAAATATAGCAGTTTTTTAGAAGCTAGCTAGTATTGAATCAATTTCTGCTATTTGAGATTCGAAGGGATTAGAATTATTGTTTTTAGGTTAGAATGATAAGGCCTGAGATTCAGAGATTGGGTTAGACGCTTAGTCAGATTTGGATTCGAGGTCAGAGTCTTCTAATTTTGTATCGCCTATAGCATAATTCTTTCTCGCATCTAGATGAACAATCTTATGCCTCAATGCTATTCTGTTAAGAAGATCAAGATGCTGATGAGTTGGGTTTGGACCACTGTGAACTCTGCAGGCATGCTTTCCTCTTATTTTTCTTAATATTTTAGGCATGATTTTATAAGGCTTCAAAAACTTGCTAAATGCCCTAGTATTGCGCTTTCCATTTTTACTAAAGATAGGATTACTTAACTTTCCAGCTTTTATAGCCTCTTGAATTCAGATAAGCAATGCTCTTGTACATTCTGGGTTCTTCTCCATTGATAGAAATGGGCGAGGTTCTGGATCATCCTTATTTTCTCCTTTATTCTTAGTATATCCAGTGCAATACCAAGAATAACCATTTTTATTCCATGCTGAAGGATTAGATGGGTCAACTTCGAAGTGATCAATCTGGAAGCTGAATACTTTAGCAGGTCTCATACACAATATCATTATTACATCTGTGAGATCCTGTAATAAGGGATCTTTGGTAGTATCAATGTTTTGAATTCTTTTAAGTCCTTTTTCTAAGGAGAAATATGGTGGAATTTTTAACTGATTATTGGCTACATCTTGTTCAGTCCGTTCTTTCTAAATTTTGTTAGAAGCTGTGATAATATCCAGAAGTTTAGCATAAATATCAATAGGTTCTTGAGCAATACCAGCTTTTGCCAATTTATTATGAAATAGAGAGAGTCACAAACAGAAGGCAACGATTTCGTCATTATTTTTTGAACCTAAATTGAGAGCATAGATATAAATATCCCACTCATCACCAGTTTTGGTACAATAGAGAGCTCTTTTTTCAATGGTGAGCTTTTTCTTTTTTTTGTCTAGCACAAGAACTCCTATTTGATTTTCTTTGAATAAGCACTGACGGAGAGCCTCTTTCACATCTTTACGAGTTTTCCAATCTAGTAGCATAGTATTAAGCTCATCAGCATGAGCACGTAATTGAAGCAGATTTAATTTGACTGATAGGTTATATTTATTGAGGACCTGATCCAAAATGGTGGTAAAGCTATTAGTTTTAGGTTTTCTAGTTTTTCAGACAGTTGCCATGATAGATATGTAAATAATCTATATCAATAAGTAGAATGTGATTATATATTAACCTACTTATTTTTTTTTAATTTGAAATTAATTATTATGAGTTGGTATATATATCCAAAATTGAATAGAATGCTGTTTACGTAATCTTATCAGAAAATGGATGCGAACAAGACACAAGTTCGATCAGGCACAAAGTATCATTTCTCCCGAAATAAAGTCTTGGAATCTGTAGCTTTACACAATAAAATTACCAAAAATATAGAAGGCATCAAAGAGGATATAACATTACTTAGGCACATAAGTGCTATTTTTCCAAAATAAGAGGTCCTGGAAAAAATAATCAATATATACGTATGTCAGGTATATGATTAGACTTCGTGCATAGAATCAGGGAAGTCAGATATATAATTCTTAAACCTGGTAATTTGTGCACATAACTCATCCTGCTTTTTTCTGTCATAATTCTTTTTACTTTTATATTTTCCCACGTGTTTATTGCATGCATTATATTTAGACCTATTTAGCTCATCACAATCTCTACAAAGAGTAGGTATTGGAGAATTACGATAAATATAACATCTTTCTGATTTACTACGTTGACCACAGATTTCTCCAGTTCTATGAATATATGAGCAATGGTATAATATCATCATGATTATATATAATAATTACTTC